CTGTGAGGGAAGATGGGGGTGGGGTGGGGGGGTGGGGGAGGAGTGGTTTGCTCAAGTTCACTCAGTGACTGAGTGCTGTGTTGAGCCTGAACCCCAGTTCCCTCCATACCTGGGACCCTTGCCCTGTTCCCAGTGGGTGGAGGGAGGGGAGTGGCTGCAGAGTACAGCCAGAGGCAGATCCCAGGCAGAATTCCAGATCATTCTGCCTGCTGCTTCCCATCTCTGTGATCCCAGGTCAAAGGGGGTTTCCCAAACCCCACCCTGCCCCACCCCAGCTCTGGCTCCACCGGACCCTCTGGTCTTGAGTAGGGGAAGGGGAGCAGAGAGGTTTAAGTCACCGCAGACCAGACTCATCCGAACTGCCTCACCTCCTGGGCACCCGGTCTCCGCTCCCGGGGATGCTGGCCACTTCCCGGTGTTGCCTCCAGGCCCTTCTCCCTGGCTCCGCCCCCCTCGGGGGTGGTGGGGATGCTCTGGATGGGCGGCATCGGCCTGGGCACCCTCAGCAGCCTCTGCGAGGTGCCCCTGGGGATGGCGTTCTTCAGGGGAGCTCCGCCGAGGCTTCCCCCCAGATCCAGAGAAGCTAGACAGGGGTGGCGATGGGAAACAAGTTGGTCCCAGGAAGACAGGGGGCAGGGGCGGGAGGGACCCGAGGGACCCGCCCTCCCCCCAGCTCCACACCCACACTAGGCTGAGCAAGCAGATGGTGCCCGGTGCCTTTTGTGTTCCTGTGAAATGTGGGAGAAAATGCCCATCAAAGCCATCTCTTTACAAGTGAGGGAAGGCCGGGTAGCCCCCATCAGCTCTAGATGAGGAGCACAGACCCGCCAGCCTTAGGCATGTGGCTCTCCTCCCCACTTTGACACCCCCTCCCCTCTATCCCCACGTGCTCCCAGCAAAATGAAAGAGCTGGGGGGAGACCAAGGTTGTACAGCGCAGCGTGACAGGTGACAGCAGGCGACTGCCACTTCTCAGCTGATGGCGTGGGGAAGTGGTGGCATGGGTACGGGGCCTCCTGGTCTGCAAGGAGGACCCTCATTCATCCAGCTCCTCAGTTAGTAAGCTCTGTACCCAATGAGCAGGCGCTCTCCACCCTGGCCCCCTTCCCTGGGGCAAAGGCATAGGGCAGGGCAAGCAGGAGAGTGGGCAGGCAGGCTCAGAGCTCAGAAGGGACTTTCACACACTGTTTGGCCTGGGGGGACAGGGCGGGGAACAAAGGAAGTTTGGGTGCCTGGTGCTTCAGCTTCCAAAGGCCCTGGTGTTCCAGTTATATGAAAATGGCTACAGCAATCTATCAAGTCCAAGGATTGGTTCCGTGCCGGCACCCATCCCCCCACCCAGCTTAGGGCTGGCCCTTGCACACTGAGTGCCACTGGCGGCATTGTTGGAGGGCAAAGGGGTGGGGGTGGGGTAGATAGAGGTTAGGAGGGGACACTGGTCAGCCTCATGGTCACCTCGGCCCCCACCGGGGCACCTGTGCAGAGAAACCAGCATAGCCCCCAAGCCCTGCTCAGGGGTCAGGGATCCTGTCTTCACACACTGACTAGGGGACCTGTGGAGTCATGGATCCTTTCTGGAGGTCTCAGTTTCCCCATCTGTACAGTGGGTGGGATTACTTGTTCTTCTGGGCCTCTGCTAGAACTTGATACAAGAAAGCCGGGGACAAAGGTCTGGTGAGAGACGTCAAGGGTCTAAAGAAGCGCGTTATTGATCTGATACCCCCAAAAGTTATGCCGTTTGGAAATTCTAGCAAACTTCTCCAACCCCTACCTTCTGCAGGGTGACTCCTTTGCGGCGCTTCTCACAGGGAGCTTAAGAGAGATCCCCTCGTGGCTCCAAGGGCAAGCCTCAACAAAGACAAACCACTAAGTGTGTGTGGGGGTGGGGGGAGGGGGTAGGCGACCATTTACAACCAAAGGTCTGACAGCAGCCATCACAGGCCCCTGGGTGGACACCCTGAGACTCCCAGGCTTCTTGTTCCTTCTGTCACCTGAGAGCCCATCAAGCTGAGCCAGAGACAGCTCACTATGGGCCCAGGGCAATATGAGTACCAAAACACACCAACTCACTGCCATCGAGTCAGTGCCGACTCATAGAGACCCCCTGTGGGTTTCGGAGAATGCAAGTATTTACTGGAGTAGAAAGCCAGTGTCTTTCTCTCATGGGGTTTCTGGGAGGTTTCAAACTGCCAACCATGCAGATCGCAGCCCAATGCACAACCCCTACACCACCGGTGCTCCTGCTATGAGTATAGTGAGGGAAATTAATTTATCAGGTACTTCCCATGTGCCGGGTGCTAAGCATTCCCCGGACAATTTCTTGCTTAACCTTCATCGTAATAGGGAAGTACTATGATCCTCATTATACAGAGAGGAGAATTGAGGCTTCAAGGGGTTGCTGACTGTCCCCAGGCCTCAGAGCCCGAGGATATCAAGGCTCAGATTTAAACCTGGTCGGTGGTGGTGGAGGGACGTACTTGGTATGGCTCTTCTAGCAATCAGGTTTGAACAACTCCCTCCCAAGGATTTTTTCCTGAGGGATCCAGGTAAGAGAAGGTGGAGGGATATGCTGATGGGATGGTGTGCTCCAGCGGTGAGCGATTGCTAACAGGGTTCATTGTGATTGCCAGAACTTGGGGTTCTAACCTGGGGATTGGTCGATGCTGCCATCGTGCTGGGCATAAAGAGAGCCACAAAGAAGCAGGAAGGAAGAAGAGCCAGGAGTGGTCCCACACAGTCAAGGTGCACTGAACCACCTCAATCCAGGGACAGAAAGCTGTGATGTCAGTGGGGAAGGGTCGCAGAACTAGCTCGCCATAAAGCTGAGTGACTGTGAGCGGGGGACTTGCTCAGGAGTGAGCTGACTCCTGGCACTTTGTGGGGGAACTAGACGTGCTGGCTCTCAGAGCTAAAGCTAAGGGCCTCGAGGCTGAGGCGTCCAGGGTGGAGTTCCCTTTGGCCATTTCTTGGCAGCCTTAGGGAGCTATGGAACACTTGCAGGAACAGGGCCAAGGCCAAGGGGCTATGTGGCCAGACCAGAAAGGGGTGTGCCTGTCAGCATGACTGAGAAGATGCTGTCCTAACTGAGCTGAGCAACTGTATCCTGACGATTTCTGATCCTGAATTGTAAGCTTGTTAACCTGTCTAACAAATCCCATCATCAGGAGTATGGTCTGTGAGGTCCGCGTGGCCATTGCAATGACGTATGGAACCTGGCTGAGGAGGAGAGCGAGCTATGGAGGTCGGCCCGTGTCCGAATTGATAAGGCAGGTGGAGGGTGGAGGCATGTCTGGTCTCAATGTCAGAGGAAGGGGCCTTGGCCTGATGTTGACCTTGGTCCTCCTTTCCCCTGGTGAAGTCAGAGGAGGTCAGACCCCACCTCTGTTGCCCTGTTGTGCCTGGTTGGCCTGGTTTGTCCACCGTCCAGATGAGAGGGCAACAGAAAGTGCCCTCTCTTCAGCCCCTTCCCTCGGTGGGGCAACAGACGTTTCTTGAGACCCCCCAGTGTGTTGCACAACTACAGCCAGCACTGCGGATTCAGCGCCTGCCCTGCTCTCAGCCACGTGCAGGCTGCTGATCTAAAACAAATGCAACTGCTGGACAGAGAAAATGCAAACCCAGAGAAGAAGGCTTGGGGAGGGGGGGGCGAATGACAGGAGGGTGTGACTCTAAGCCTTCATTCCATGCACAATACAACGTTTTAAAAAGAACAATGGGGCCTTCTTACAGAGACTCGAGCAAAGGAATCAGGGAGGCCTCTTAGAAGGAGGGCTGAGGCCCAAGGATGAGCGGGGGATGAGCCGGCTGGATAGTGGAGGGGTGGGGGGGTGGGAGTCGCAGCAGGTCCTAAAGCCCAAGGCAGGGAGGGCCCACTAGCGCAGGGGACCCAAAGACCAGTGTGTGGGTATCACAGAGCTACCAAGACCTGGAGACTAGAACCGCAGATGGTCTTGCAGGTCTGAGACCATGGAGAGCCACTCTGAGTGGCTTGGGAAATTATCAGGTGGTTTTATGTACAGTGAGTGGCCAGATTTGTGTTGGAGGAGGAATCCTTTGGAGAAAGTACTAGAAGGACTACAAGGGTGGAGTTGGGGACTGCTACAGAGACCCAGGCAGGAGATAGAGCTCAAAGGAGGTAGGGAGAAGGGGTCCTTGGTGGGCATCCCCGGGGCCAGCCTGTCACGGACTGACTACCAAACCATCACACACACACACACACACACCCCGCAGCCAGGCAGGGCTCACCTTGTGAAGACGCTGCCAAGCCCTCGGAGAGCCTCCTCTTCTTGAGCTTGTCCTTGATCTGGGTGGTGTCCCGAGCCACACTGCTGGCCTCCGACTCCAGCGAGGAGATGGGTGCAAGAGGGTTGGGCCCCAGACGCAATGCCCCGAGGTTCCTGGGGTAGCCATTCCTAGCCTGCCAGCCCTTCAAGGGAGGATCCAGCTTGAGGCTGGCATGGGCTCCAGGTCCATTCAGAAGCTGTGAGGGCTTCTCCAACGTGGCATCCGGCCCAGACTGGAGGGAGGCTGAGGGAGACAGAGGCAGGAGTGGCTGGGGGCACAGTGCCTAGGTGGCACCAAGCACCAACATAGGCTTTGTCCTGGAAGCAGGCAGCCGCTTGCCTAGTGAATCCCAGCCACTCAATGTCTAAGCCACTTCTTCACCAAGTCTTCACTGAACAGTGTCTGGGAAGCACCTGATACACGCCAAGCCTGTGCCAGGGGGGGCTTTGCAGACAAAAGGGGGACAAATGCGCCATCCTCTGGCAACAGACAATGTGCCACCATGCTCATGAAGAGGTCTGCCCAGGGACCACCATCCCTCGACCTCGGCAATTCAGCACATGCGTTCAACACGACAGAGCGCCCGCCCGGTTCACGCCAGGCACAAATGGAAAAGGGAAGCTCTGCTCCTGCAGAGCACACCACGCTCCCCTGCAGACGCAAGACAACCCAAGGACTCATAAGCACCTACTGTGTGCCAAGCAGGAACCACGGGGTGGGCGAACAGTTTGCACACTCAAGTGCCAGCCAAACACTGGGGGTTCAAGTCCACCCCGAAGTGCCTTGGCGGGAAGAGCTGGCCTGAAAACAATCAGCTGTGAGAGCCGTCAGGGGCTCCCATGACTAAAAGACAATACAAAGGAACTGGTTTTTTTGTATGTACCAATGTGGGGCAGGCGGCAGAGAAACACAGGAAAGGGAGGCACAGTCTTTGTCTCTACGGGGTTTTCAATGTACTAGAGAAATAAGATATGAAGGGGTACCCTTCCCCCCCAAAAAATAGAAAAAATCTCCACTGGGCAGAGCTTTCGTAGTACGCATTTTTCCTGCTAGGCAATCATTGGGCAACTCTCTCTGAGTTAGTGCACCCGGTGGCATCACCTGGGAAGGTTCTCTCTGGTCACAGTGAATTTTTTCATGAAAGCAGTTTCGCTCAAACCTCACGTTTTGTGATGGCCACTTTAAGAGAACAGCGTGAGACTGTGAAATTTTGTTTCCTGCTCCAGATAACACAGCTTACAAGGACAGCGCTATGGGAAAGACTCAAGTATACAAATGGGTTTCCCATTTCAAAGCAGGTGAAATGTCAATTGATGACAAACCTCATTCTGGATGTCTGTCAACTTCCTGAACAGATGAAAATGCCGACAAACGTCGTGCAGTTATGCTTGAAGTCTGACGACGGACCATTGAAGAGACGGGGAAGTTATCTGGACCATCTTGGAGCTCAGTCCAGCAAGTTTTAATGGAAGATTTGGGAGTGAAAAGGGCCACGGTGAAATGTGTGCCTCGGGTTCCGACTGACCAGGAAAAGGGGCATCAACTGGAAACATGCTGTGCTTTGAAAGAACAGCTCTGAAGCAACTCAGACTTTTCCCAAGGTGACAAGACATGATGCTACTCTTATGACCCCGAAACCAAACATCAATCAAGCCAGTTGAAGATGCCATGGTCATTTCATCCCCCAAAAGCTTGTCAAGTGAAATCAAAGATCAAAACCATGCTCTTTTGTTTTTATATGACGGGGATAGTGCATTTGGAGTTTGCTCCATCAGGTCAGATGGTTAATCGAGCTTTCTATTTAGAGGTTCTGAGAAGATTGCCTAACAGTTTGTGACCCAAAAAAAGGCCTGATTTGTGGCAGACGGGGGACTGGTGGTGCTACCACAAGAATGCCCCTGTTAACACAGCCATCTCAGTGTGCCAGTTTTTAGAAACAATCAGCATTCCTCTCCTGCCCCATGCACCTTACTTACCTGACTGATGAAAAGGGACATGAAAGGACAGTGATGTGATGACATAGAAGAGGTGAAGACAAAAACAAGGGAGGTGCAGTCAGCCATTCAAACAGATGAGTTTAAAAAATATTCCCAAGAATGGAACTTCAGATTTGACAAAAGGATTAAGTGTCATGGAGAGTACTTTGAAACTGATGATTGTTTTGTTTTAAAAAAAATTGTTTTAAATATATAGCTTTGAAAACAAAATGTTGGTTTGTGGGGGATACCCCCTTGTATATCTGTAACTAGGAACATCACAAGATACGAACAAAAGTGCTTTGTGCCCTTAAAGGACGGGGAGGATGGTCCAGAACCTGCCCGTGAAGTGGTGGCCTTGGAATTGGACCCCGAAGAAGTGCTGGGCAGGAAGACACAGAGGCACATGGACAGACAGACAGAGCGGCTTTCAGAATCCCTCTCCCACCCACAGCATCTCAAAGAAAGGTCTCCCACAGACACTGGGCTGGGACTGACCCCGAACCACACATAGCTCAGCCCTGAGTTGGTCTCTAGTATGGGGGGCCGGCCTGAAAGTTTCACCCCATGATTCGGAGTCATCGACGATCTGTCCAAACACCAGAAATGGCGCTCCGAGGAGAGGCTTGCAGCTGAAGCCAGTGGATTCCCTGGGGTTGGTGTCCCTCCCCCCACACACACACACAGTAACTCATGGTGTCCCCCTCATGGGCAGGACCAGCTGACAGACCCTCCCCCACCACCAGGCATGCAGTAAACCAGCCCTGGCAGGTGACACTGGTGTGTGTGGTGACAACTGCCTCACTGCGTGGTGAGTGACACCAGATATCGTGATGCCACCTCTGTGGTAGCCCCTCCCCCTGTGGCAGCCACCCACCTACCATCACTGCAGACCCCGAGAGCATTTTGGGGTGCCCCCTCCCTCTAGGGAAGCCAGTGTTGGATGCTACAGCAGAAAGTCCCCAAGCAGGAAGTTTTCCTGTTGTGAAAACCAGCCTGACAACAGAAGCGGAGCTGAAGAGGCCCACTTCCCAGGCTCAGACCAAGTGCAAAAAGCCTCCCCTTCCTGTGGCGAGGGAGGGGCCTCACAAGGCAGTAGACCTGGGAAGTAGAATAGGGAGCCCCGCCTCTCTATTCCTACACTCCCTTAATACAGCCCACCCGCTGAGGCACGGATCTAAAGCAACCTACTGGAAACCAGAGAGTGTTTTCAGCAGGGCAGCAGCACAGACAGCATCTGCTGGTTGACTTCAGCGCCCAATCAGCTACCTGCACGAATGCATGCCTGTCCAGACCCCCGGGGTCTGCCCTGTGGTCCGGGGCCCTGGCTGTGCAGCTGCCTGGTGGGAATCCACCAAGAGGCCACTCCAAGTAGCCCTTGACCTGACCAACTGGCTCATCCTCCCCTTATTTGTGGGCCTGCAGGCCAGGGTCCACACTGCCACACAGAGTGGCACAAGACTTGACACTGGCCTGAGGGACACTCCCACAGGGCATGGCCACAGGTGCCAGAGTTTGTCTGGGGACAGAGCAGAGGGAGGGTGGCCTCTCAGAGCGCTCTGAGAGCAGGACCAGGAGGGAACAGCCTGGGGGGGCTGTGCCTCTGAGCACCTGCCCCTTAGCCCCTGTCCTCCAAGTCCCTCAGCCCTCTAACTGGGCTACCATCACCCCTGGGCCTGCCCTCTGACCCTC